GGGTCAGCTCTTCCTTCTTCACCAGGATTCTGATGGGTTCACGCATGAACTTCTTTGTGACCTCCAAGACATCAGCTGGCATGGTGGCCGACAGTAGGACAACCTGAAAACGGACGAGAGAAACAGGTTAAAACCGTAATGAAAACAAAAACCTGATCAATATAGCCAATCTAAACATTGAAAGACAAAGGGATGTATTCCGCCAATTAGTTGTGAGTCAAGGACTTGAGCCCAGCTACAGTGGAGGGCAGAAAGCTTCTCTACCAAGGAACATTCAGTCCCACTCCATCACTGCAGATGGGAGGAGAGGGAACCCTGGACAACACGGAACTCTGCTTTAACGCAAACCTGACACTGTCTCTGGTAAATTACAGAAAAAATTCAAAGCTCTCACCTGTGTGCTGCTTGCCAGTTTCTGGAAAATCTCATAGATCTGGTCCTTGAACCCTCTACTAAGCATCTCGTCGGCCTCATCCAGAACAAACATTTTGATGTACTTGGCAGCTGCAAGGAAATGCAAATTAAATAAATAAACCAGAATGAACAGGTTGCATGTGGTCTTATTTGAATGTTTCAGGTCTGATGCAAGAAAACATGCAGGATGGGTTTGATTAGTCGCAGGCAAAAACAGGAGCTGTATTCAGAAGTGAAGTATGATCACGTCTCTGAATCTCTGCTGTGCCGAGGGCTTAGGCCAGCAAAACGCCAACCTGAGCCACAGCACAGCAGGAGGAAACAGAGTCAGCTGACACGCATGGGTTTCATCATTATACAGCAGGAATTCTGATAAAACCAATTGATCTTCCACCTTTTAATTAATTTAAGCATATGCAGCATGCGACTACAGTTGACTGTCTAAGGACAGGTGTCAACATACTAACATTTCAGTAAAATAAAGACAGATCAGCACCTTAACACAATTGTTTCCTGTATGACTTACAGAGGTTTTTGCGACTCAACATGTCGAAGACGCGGCCGGGGGTTCCCACCACAATGTGAGGGGCTTCAGCTTGCAGTTTCTGCACTTCATTGCGAATGTTGGTCCCTCCGATACAAGCGTAGCAACTGGCTCCCATGTAGTCGCCCAAAGCCAGAACCACCTTCTGGATCTAAATAAGGGGAAATAAAGTATTTTAATGGCCATAAAATGAATAGTAAATGTAAATAAATGTCAACAATGGTGTCCTAGGCAGTATGCTGGATGGAGGTAAAACTAGTTTTATATTTGCCACGGAAGTACATTCAAAAATATTTAGGTTGAAGACCAAAACCCAGATTATTTTCCAGGTAAGGCTATGTACAACGACCATTTATCCTGTATACATTATTGTGCAATGTTTTGAGAAGGTCCCCATGAAGTACATTTTAAACCAAAAACACATAGCTTCTGTGAATTCAGGTACAAGTGCTATTAGTTCCTTCTTTTAGGACCCTCATGGCAGTTTAGTCATGCAGATCTATTTGATTACACTAGCTGATGACTCTTGAGCGTGATGGCTGCTGTATTCAGAAGTGAAGTAAGATCATGTCTCTGGATCCCTGCTGCATTGAGCACCCAGGCTAACAAAACGCCAACCTGAGTTACAATACAGCATGAGGAAACAGAGTCAGCTGACACGCATGGTTATCATCATTATACAGCAAGTCTTCTGAGTGTTTGTAGGTGTTAAGCAGCCAGTAACTCTTGAACACAAACGGCATTAATTAGTCTTTGTATTTGATCCGTTTCATTCATCTATGAAACCAGCTCCCAAAATAATTAAGTCTTTAAAATTAAAACTTCATTGCACATCTCTTTTTTAGCTAAATGTAACTGTGTGCAAGCTTACCTGCTGAGCCAGCTCCCTGGTGGGAGCCAGGACCAGAGCCTGAGTGCCTTTCAGCTCCACATCAATCTGCTGGAGGATGGAGATGGCAAAGGTGGCAGTCTTCCCAGTGCCAGATTGGGCCTGAGCGATCACATCGTAACCTTAAAACAAAAACATAAAGATATCAAACCACTGTTGTGTACACAGAAAAACTACTTTTAAAATGACTCTAACTTAGACAAACCCTTTAGTTAGAAACTAATGGATGCAAATAAAAAGTTATACAGACTTTGGCAAAAGTGAAGAATTTCCCTTTTTTGAATGAGATGTTGGAACAATATCCGCTACGGCTGTCTAGCATTACTGACAGCCGGCGACAAAAACACACCCCTACAAAGCTGGAATATTTTGTCTAGACTGGAAAGTCAGAGTACACAGGCCTAATGTTTATAAAAGAAAGAGACATTGAAAATGTTGACCAAGGAAAGAAAAAGCTTTACTCACCCTTGATACAAGGCATAATGGCTCTCTGCTGGATAGCAGAGGGCTTCTCAAAACCATAGGCATAGATTCCCCTGAGGAGAGCCTCACGCAGAGCCATCTCATCGAAACTGTCCGTGATCTCGGTCCAGTTGCTCTGGAAGGGTTAAGACAAACACAATATTAATCATGAAAAAGGGTTTGCTTACAATTATGTATAATCAGTTTGTACCATGCACCTAGATGGTAGTTTCAGTTTACTTAAGTCTTATAGTGGCCTATTAGTGCACTCACCTCGATGACCCCATCGGGCTCCATGCCTTCCGGGCCATTCTCTCTGTGAACGAGAAAACAATAAAGTTTGTTAAGCCTTGCAAACTTGAATCGTTAACACATTTTAACAATAAATGATTTTTATTAAATGTTGTCAATTCAAACAATCAAGGAAAAAGTAGAGTCATTATGTTATAAATGCGACTGTATTGATTAAGACATGGCTTTAAAAGAAAATTCCCTTTTAAATCCAATTATAGTCTCCACCCTTTTCCGCCACCAGATTACACAATACACATTCTCCAGTCAATCAGACGATTGTGTTCCATAGTCACGCACACTTCTACCGACTAATTGCGACACATTTATTTTCTGTGCCGATAGATTATTTCTCTAAAACACAATGTTCGGCTAAATCCTCGTGCTTGTACGCAAACGCCTTTTCTCCAGTCCGCCATTTCTACTGCATTCACTCAAGATGGTCGTTTCTACTGTCGGGCTGAAAAAGTCGGAAGCCAGTCGACAGGAATGGCGGCCTAACCACGTAGAATAGCATTGTAGCTTAAAAAACCGACATATTTTGGACTTTAACGAACTACAATTAACGATTGTTTATTTATTTTTTAAATGGTTCCAATGTCAAATTTGCTATTGGAAAGAATAAAAGGCTTGGCTACCTCTAGCACCAGGGCCGCAATAGCCACTGCCAACAGGCCCTGCGCCTCTTTATGTGGCCTTTTAATAACTCGTAGCCAGTGAAACCCCTCTGATGTGCGTGTGCCCACACAAACAATGCATTTGTTTCACGAAGCTAACGCATATCACCTCGTTAGCATATGCTAACGGCATTAAGCGGCCTACGCTACCGGCATTGTGCGCATCCCCTCGATTAGCGCTGCGGCGGCCATGTGCGCCCGTCGTATGAACTGAACAAATCTCTTTACATTTGCTGCGGCAACTACGAGAGACGTTCACTATGTTAACACAAGCCGTTCATTACACCGTACTAATGTAAAATGTGTTAGTAATCATGATAGTGGAAACGGAAGCTTCTGGAATAGAAATTGAGGCCTAGACCAGACGCACTCACGTGCTACGCAAGGCGCCGGTTGCCATTTAATTTGCTTCAGCGACGTTCAGGACCAACAGCAAACGCCATTATTAGTACCACCACAAACGATTTACGGGGTAAAATAAACATATTGAACGTAAAATAGTGAGTTTTAACTCAAGTCGTCGTATTGTTTTTTTAAATATGAAGAGCTGTGACGTTAGTCCGAGGCAGGCTATCGTTAGGCCTAACCGTTGCCGAGCAAATAAACCGTAAGATGCTTCGTTTAACGTCTACATTCCACATAGTCGTCGATAAGAAAGACTAACACACCTACGTTAACAGATTAATCGTACTCTAAATCGTGAAATGCACACAAAACCATAAAATCGTTTCCTTACCTATTGTCATATTCAGCCGACATTATTCCAAAGAAAGAAACTGCGGCAGAGATGTGTTATATACGTTGACAACACACAAAGGGGCCTTCTCATTGCAACAGATCCCCGTCACTTAGCTATAAGCCCGCCCACGGACACTTTTGATTGGTTCAATTTTACGTCACATAGGGGTAGGCGGGTCGTAACGTCTTTAGTGGCGCATGATTTTCTCTGCGTTAGCAGGCCAGAGGGGCGGTGTTTATATGCTACGAAAAACTGTAGGGGGCAAATCAAGCTGCTTCTCCCGCGATACGCTGTAGAACAAAGTTAAGGTTCCCCATTCCTAGACCAGCCATTCGTCAACGCAGACAAAAGGCCGTACCTAGGGTAGAATTATTTTTTGTTTTCATCTGAACCATATTTCCTTACAAATAAGTGACAAACCTTATGACCACTGAGATATGATGCAAAGTGTGAAACTGTCTGGATGAGTCACAGTGTACTCATGTGTAGCATATTTAACACATGGAAAAAAGCTTGACTTATGACGTATGACTCATACTGTCTGAAATAAGTATTTTATAGAATATGTCCCTAGATAGTTGTTTATAGTTGTAATTTATAGCATAATGAATGCAAATTCATGTTTGGCATGTATTGTGAATATGACAAGAACCAGGCTTTCAGGAATACTCAGTTCAAACTGTCCTTAGCATGGACTGTTTATATAAGGGTCCATAGCAACATTATAGGCAAAATAAAAAACAAATGTAAATAATGTCTTTGCTCATTGTAGCTTGTTATAATAAAGATTACATGTTCAGAGAACTGAATGATAAGTGTGATCTTAAGAACAGAATTTGAGTAATAGACTTCATTTGATACGACCATTTGTTTTTGTTTATGTTTTTGGCCCATAAAGAAATTCCTTGTATGTTATAACATACTGCAATACTACTGGATTTTGATTATGACGCCTATTTATTAGCATTAATAAAATGCACAGTCCAATTTTGCCGCATATTTTTATTTTTAGCAACAATAATGCATTGTAGAAGATATATAAAACGTTCAACTCTGTTGCATCATCTCCTGTTTGGAAAAACAAAAGAAAAAGAAAAACAGACACACCGCTATCAACAAAATGTTTCTTTAGTTATAAAAAAAAAAAGAGGAGGGTGCTGTAACTCCATTGTGAACATACTGAATCTGTTGTGTCGCTGTCGTGGTCCTCACCAAAATGGCTGTCAAACTTTCAAAGAAATACTAACCAGAGGATCAGTTTTGTATTTACTTGGAAAATAACCTATTAGTAGTCCTCCTTTTTAACACCATTTGTTTAAAGCAATAAGCATATCAACACATTTACTGACAGATAAAACACAGAAAAAGATAAATGCAATGTAAAGATGCCCCTTTCTCAGGGCCAATATGTCATTCTGGCTTGTATGGGCAACGATGCGGATCCAGTCTCCCACATTAAAGATGTTTTATTTAGGGTTGAGTGATGGCAGGGCAATTTTCCAGCACATGGGTTGAAATGTGGGCTGTTCCATGGATGTCAATTCTGATTTCCTTAAAGAAAAAATGCACTAGAGTAGCTCTTCATATGCTGTTTTCAGACATCAATATGGCAGCATCAGTTAGCAAGTTCCATTGTCTCTTGAATTCAACTAAACATCGGAAATGTTACGCTGCATTACAAACGCTATGTGCTGACTAGATGGATAGAATTGTCAACATACCATTGGCTGTAGAGAGTGTGTTTCATGTTGGGTGTCAATGATTTGAACACAACATACTGTATGGACTGGATGGATGGAAGGCATGTACATCCACAAGTACTAATTAACCACAAGCTTACACAGACTGGTTCAATTCGTTCTGCCCTCCACCCAAAAGTGAAAGTAGTAGTCAGGTTGGACTTCAACCGTTTATATCTGGACTGTACGCTATTGAAATCTTCTTGATAGAACAACGGTGGTCTACAATGGGATGGAAGATTAGCACATTCCCAAAACGGAAGCTAGTCTTGGCCTCTGTCAACCACAAAGGAATAACCATGACATGGAAATTAAAACATTTATCAAAGGGTGGGGAGAGAGGGAAGCAAAGAGAGACAAAAAGTGAAACAATGACATCACCTACAACAGAAGAAAGAAGTCATTTCTCTGGATGTTGAGAAAAATAGTTTTTGTTCTCTTTCCCAGTCAATCGTTTGCTCCCCTTGCCCTCGGTCTTGTCGTATCACTGTCCCTCCATCTTGTTAAAGGAGCAGGTGGAGATGGCGGGCGGGCGGCGGGTCACAGGGTGAGCTTGCAGTGACAGAGTTCTTTGTACATTTGCCTCCTCAGCCTGGGCATATCCAGCTGGCCGAAGCTGAACGGCTGCCCTAGTGCCAGACACTTGCAGTACTGTAGGACGGTGGGGGGCACATGAGGAGAAACACAGCAAGTTATTAGCGTGTAGCAACGACACAAGTAAGAAGTGTGTGTTCCTACAGTGCAGATCAACAGGGTCCATGTAGTAGGTGTGGGACATGCGGTCTAAAAAAGTATTTCCCACGAATGACCAAGACAGTTGGTCTTCGGAGATGTAAACCCACCCGATCGGTTTTTAAACACGGCCCCGTCCTTTTTTCCCCCATGCATTGTGTCTGTGATTTCATTTTTAACAGTGTCATCACCACTCATATCATGTTAAAGCGTTGATTGTTATACGCAGTTAAAAACAAGTTTCTCTGCAAAATAAACTCAATGCAGAATACAAGGAAACGTGATGCAATAAGAGATCAACACAAGAAAATAAATGAAATGTTAAAGGAGAGGTGTCATGGCCATTTCCACTGATCATAATTCCATTGTTGAGGTCTACTAGAATAGATTTATACTGTGCATTTTTCCAAACTCACATTGGTTTCTCATACAGCATCTCTGTAAACTACGTGTATTCACTGAATTTCACTCTCTGCCTTTAACGGCTCGTTGTAGCTCCCAAAGCTCCAGCCCCCACCCTCCCTGTGAGCACAGTGTGCTCTGATTGGTCGGGACGTTGTGAATCGCGCTGAGCTCCGTGGAGGTATTGTTTCCTTGTTTAGGATACACAGCGAAACACAGCCAAACTCATCCTGAGCACACACAAACTCACAGCCGAAGTAAAAACAATAAGTGTGGCTTGATATTGAGTAAGAAAAAGGTTGATAAACGCTGTGAGAATGGGTCTGCAGAGAGAATTTCGCCGCGATCCCAACTGTCTGTTATCAGCCTGCAGCCAGGGTGGGTGGAGTGGGTAATATTTGCATATCTAATCTACCAAAATGTTGCAGATTACAGTGTTAATAAATGCTTGAAATATAAACATAGATTTAAGCTCCTCTATTTGTTCTCTCAAAGTGCAGCAGATTGATGCATTTGCTTTAGGGCAATCCGAATTCCCACCCTAAGAACCTTTGTGACGCTCCAACTGATTTTAAATGGCTTGCCTCTCAAAATTCCCAGCAAATGTATTAATTGGTTCATTTAAGTTCGCTTTGCATTTTTTCCTCACAATGTCATTATTAGCAGGCTATGCGAACAATATCTTGTTTTTATTTATTTCATTGAATTACTGTCAGTCCTGCACAACCCTTTGAATATTTAGCACACTTATATACAAATCTACCTCTTGTAATATCTGCACAGCTTTCCACCTCTCATACAGATACTGCATATATTTTTATTTTATTAAATCAGAGTATTTTGTCATATTTTATTGTATGTAGTTTTTAGTATATCTATATTTCATGTTGATATAATGTTAAAATACACTTACAATTTATCTTAAACTGTGTTTATGTATGCACCATACACTAAGGCTAATTCCTTGTATGTGTAAACTTACTTGGCAATAAACCAGTTTCTGATTAGCTGGAACTAATGTGTTTTCATTTAAGATAAACACTTTTAAATGAAAACATTTAAAACGTATGCCTTTTTTTTTTATTGAAGGACTAATATTCTAACACTGCAAATTAAATCCTTATACTAGCCTACAATTGTAGTCTATGTGATTTATTTATGGTAATTCTTAACTCTTAACTAATCACGGTGCAAATAAGTTGGACAGCCCTGCTATGGGGGGTGTGAGCTTTACCCAGCAGTCTTCCATTAATCTGCACATGGACATTAACATGAGACTCACCTGTAGCACAAAAGCACCGCAGTCGCTGTCGTTGTTTTGACGACCCACATTCTGAAACAAACAATCCACAAAACATGAGCAACTCGCAGGACAATAGTTCAAGTACATAACAAAGCCATGGTAATGTGTGAGTGGCTGGCAGCGGCTCAGCCCACACAGAGAGAGCTTTGTGGAACTAGTAACCTGAAGCTGTGTCAAAAAGGAGAAAAATCCATCAGAAACAGAGCTCACCATTTTGAAAAAGCCCTTCCATCCCGTCAAAAAGTCTTGTTGGTCTTTTTTGATGGCCTCCGCTTGCAGATACTTAAAAATGTGCTGTAAACAAAAACAGAAAGACTTGAGACAAACTCTAGTCACAGACTTGTTTTATTAAGGAAGTCTTTATTGCCTTCCATAACAAGAGAGCCCACTATGAATAGAATTGATGACATTTAACCAGTGGAAAAGTTCAAATGATAAAATGGAAAACATTTTCAGTAAAAGAAGCATTGAGGGTCTCCAATGGCTTTTATATATTTGTTTTCCAGAATAATCTACTACTAGGCGCCTGGGGTTGCTGTGTGGTCCTACCTTTGGGCAGCGTCTGTTGAGAGTCCGCTGAGAGTCAAAGTAAGTGATGGCTCGGCGAGGAATGTCCACACTGACCAGAGACCAGTGGACCTCCAGGTGGATGGGGATCAGCAGCAGGTCCTTCTGAAAGATGTCAACCTGACGGGGAGGAGAGGAGGGAGAACTGAGGTAAATACTACTGTGAATGAAATGTATCCATACTTTGAAACGTTTGAACAAAGATGGTTAACCACTGAGAATATCGAGGCAGTACGATAAGCGTGTTGTCATTTCAGGGTCTCCTGTGTGTCTGTGTTGCTGCATGTTTGTGAAACTGATAGCTTATATTAACTTAAGTCGATCTTGTTAAAGCTCTTGAAGAAGGCAGTTACTTCACGTTGTTCATCTAATCACATGTTAGCACAGCTCAAGCACTCATAACTCTCCATCTCTTAGCAACTCTCGGATATTCCTGCTCCTTTTGGCTTTGCTAACAGTAGCTACCGTAGCTTGATATCTGGCGATGGCTCTCCTCCCTCCCTCTGGTGCTCTCAACTGTTCAGTTTGTTCCCTGCCCCCTTTACTGCTAACGGTACTTGTGTTAAATGTAGAATAGTTGTTGGTTGGTGGCGGGGATTGTAGCGATAGAAGGGCGGCTCCTCACCTTAAAATGTCAGTCGTGAGCTAGGTTTAGTAACACGGAAAGGTAGCTTCAGTGCTGTTCTGATAAGGCGCAACTTGGTGAGCTCAATGGCATATGCGTGTGTGTGAGATTATTCACAAAGACAATGGTTCATGAGGAACCAAACTAGTATTGATACAAATCTAAATTATTACTTTCATGGGTAGTAGCCCCCAAAAGACGTTTTCTCTCCTACTACCAATATCTCTAGGATTCATCTAAAAACTATTTTTCTGATTAGCTTTTATTTGTCTTACTTAACCAGCTCTTCGTTTCTCCTGTAGGTCTTTAACATTACTCAGATATTAGTTATTTTCTAATGTGTTTGTTTCATTATTTTATTTTACTCCTGTGTGTGCTGTAAAAGCTACTTAGATCAACTGTATTGTACATAAAGTGCTATATAAATAAAGTTGATTTGAGTAAGAAAAATTGTCTAGCACAACTTCAACTTTGAGAGGATGCAGAAGACACAGGGTTCTGACACACACTTACATTTTTCGTCCACCGTTTGACTCCATCATAGCCGTTTGTCCTTAGCTTGTCATAAAAGAAGCTGTTGAAAAAGTGAACCTGAAGGGGAGAACAGAGGAAGGGGAGAATTAGGGTAGATTGTTTTGGGTTTTAATGTAGCTCAATAAAGTCTTTGCATGAATTCTGTTTCCGCATGACATATTTCATTAATTTCCTTACCTTGTCTGGCACAGAGTCCATGACCAGGTCACCATACATGTTCATGATCTGAACAACAAAAGAAGATTTAGATGTTCCCAAGATGTCCAAACTCAACATCGCAAAGTGATCCCAAAATTGCCAATAAATAAGAGTTGAATATATTTCCTTCCATGATGCTAATAAGCTTTTCCTTTCCTGCAATACCAATTCAAAATGTGTAAAGAGTGTGTTGTGTTACCTGGTCGTTGAGCCAGTTCTGTCCGTACAGCGTGCCGAGGTCGTCCATGGTGAGGACGTGGCGTTTGTAGTTGACTCTGAATGTTTTAGCCAGGGCGGATCCCGACGAGCGCTGGAAGGATTGTATTAGGTGTTGGACCACGGCTTTCCTACGGAAGCAGAATCACAAACACGAAGCATTTTAAAAATTAAAAAATAATAATTCCTTTACCTACTGTACATAGTGTCACATCAGATGTTTATGGTTTACCAACCTCTGGATGCCCTAATGAATGTCATAAATTATTAAGTGGATTTTACAATTGTTCTTGTAAAGCAGTGGTGCAGGGATGATGGATTTAAAAAAAAAAAAAAGCAATTGGATTTCGGAACACTGCAGAAAATAAACTGTGGTAAAAACACATTTATGATACTTCAGCATGATAAACCTACTTTTATATTTGTTGAAATTGAATTTGAAAAATATTGCCAGAAGTAAAAAGCCAACGTTTGCATTCCTTCACATTACAAATGCTAAGCTAAATGCAGACTCGTGTTCAGTGTGATGATGTTTAGAAGCCTCATTCAGGGATTTGTTAGCAGCTGCCTGTGAGCCACTAAAAGCTTCAGACATTCATCAGTAGGTTAATTACTGACATATTTTATGTCGTAGAACCAATCATGACCAACCACAGACCTTGTCAGGCATCTAACACTTCACCCCAAATTGTTCTTGTGGGGATTGTCCACAGTACTGAATGTATGTAAGTCGCTTTGGATAAAAGCGTCAAACAAATGACATGTAATGTATAGCTTAATGCTAACGTGTTTCCTGGTTGTTGTTTTTTTTATCCACACAATTGCACTGCCTGCCAACCCCATGTCAGAAGAAGTGTGTGTCTGACCTGTGTGGCTGTGAGAAGCTCTGGCTGAAGATGTCCTGAAGCTTCTCCACGATGTCATCCACATGGATGGGGATCAAACTGCCGTACTGCTGTAGAGACTCTTCAAGGATCCCTTGACAGAAGAAAAAAGCATACTTAACCATTCAAGAGGTCCTACTCTTTCCTTTTTACCTATCAAAAAGCAGTTTTACATGTATCTGCCTGACAGACGTTGATCCGTACCTGTGACACAACTCATGTGTTCCTCAGTCAGGGCCAGCTCCACAGGTTTGGCCTCCACTTCCCGCCTCCCTCTGTCCTCTGGCTTGTCTGGAGAGCAGCCATTCATCTGTTTATCTGACAGAGAAAAGGAAAGAAAGTCATTATCCAGTGGATATTACATGTTTTGCAATGTCATGGCTCTGATCATTTGATACATTAAAAGCATAAATTAAACTGTGTGAAATCTCAACGAAAAAAGAAGGGGGGAAAAAATCATTGGGAGCCGTAAACATTTCACGAATCTGCCATTGTTGCTGTGCTTTCCCACAGCGGACAAAAATGCTACTGTAGTGCATCATCGTAATGATAGCAGATAAAGAAATAAACCAACTCAAATCTCTTGTCATAATAAATACAAATGTGGATTTATCGGCCACCTGAAATAGTCCTCACCAAACAATATCCTCCGTTTTAGAGGATTATAAGTACTATTATAAATACTACACTGTCAAGCTGTTTAAAAAATCTAAATATGTTGTGAGGCGTTTTAAAAGATGTTCAGTAGCAACCTAATGGCCAGCTCATGGTCATAAAGTTTTGATAAACAAAAGATTGTTGCAGGGTTTTTGCCAGTGTATTGCATGTTAACTCCCCAAATTTCAGATTTTAGTGACAAACCGCTCTTACAAGATTAGCTCAGCACCCAAAACACAAAAAAGACACTTGGCTTCTGACCCTAAAAAAGTTCCTGGTGGAAACACTGTTGCTTGTTTTGGTCATTACATGCAAATAGTTTGATGTAGATTTGTTTGTATTAAGAAAAACACAGAACCTTGCCATTGAAACATATTCAGTACGTGTGTTAGAAGTGAACGGTCAGTACCTCTCTCAGAGTCTGTGAACATCTCGTCGTTGCTGTCCTCCTCGCCGTCGGAGTACGGAGACTTCTGGTACCTTTTTGTCCTCCTCTGCTTGCCGTACAGGTGGTGCGCTCTCTGCCGGTAGCGGAGCCCCTGGGAGCAGACCCACTGTGCCCGCTGACGCCAGCTCTTCCAGTGCCTGGTGAGCCGGAAGCCTAGACCTCGATGGGTCCTCAAACGCTGCCAGCGCCGGGGCCTCCTCTGAACCCGGTACCTGCTGAGGGGGGGCCGGAACACGTCCCCCCCCTCGGCCTGGGAGGCGGCGGCGGCCCCCGCGACGTCGTCCCCATCTTGTGCCTTCTGTTGTAGTCCATGGTGGTGTAGGTGTGAGTGAGGGAGCTCGCTGGACTGGGAGGGAAAGTCTGGGATCTCCCACTCCAACGGCGCCTGGTCTCCGTCATTTTCCGGCTCCTCTTCCTCATCATTCTCCTCTTCATCTTCTTCATCTTCCTCCTCTTCTTCCTCTTCCTCCTCCTCCTCGTTTTCCCAGCCCTTGCCCTCAAACTCTAACTCGTCTTCGCCATCCAGATTGTTATCTTCCTCCTCATCACCCATTGCCTTGATCCTAACAATGCCATCCTCCTCTTCCTCCTCCTCCACATACTCGCCCGTCCACACCTTCTCTTTCTGCCCCAGTCGGAGGTGCATGGGGCTGGGTACGCTGTGGCCCGACACTGGGACGATGAGGTGGTCCCCAGGAATCCCACCTGGATACAAACATTGACTATCATCAGCTGCATTTCTTCCCAAAAAATATTTCATTTTTAGGTTAGAATTTTTTATAAATAATACTAGGGTTCATTTTACCGAACACATGCTGTCTAAAACCTGACATTTTTGTTTCAAATTTGAGTTATAATGTGCTTGTTATAATATACATTTAGAAAAAGTAATTGTGTATTGTGATATCCGATTAGGACTGCACGACTTTGAAAAAATTACTTCATATTATTATATTGACTTACAATGCAATTGCGATGGGATTTGAGATATTAGAAATAATACAAAATGAATAACATTATTATTTAAATTAAATTATCATAGTGTGACTTTAAAAAAAAGGTTCTGTACAAAACTGGGATTTATTTTTTTCATTATGATACAGTTCCATTAAAAGAAAATGCATTATTATGTAATGGATAATATGCAGAAAGGTCATTATTTTGCTTAGCAGAGGTGTGTTCGAGTATTAACAAACTCTGAAAAGTATTCAACCAAGCCGTGCAATAATACTCGATAACACACCGCTACTAAGCAAAATAATGACCGTTGCTAAGGATGATCAAGGGAGAGAGGGTATGTACGAACTAACAGTAACAGGGTATGGGCTCTGGCGTGGAAAAAGAAAATGTGAGTAGACTTGGACACAGAAAACCTTCATTTTAAGTTACGTTGTTGCAGTTCCAGAATCAGAATTTGGTATTCAACTGAGCTGTGTAATAAAATAAATGATCATGCAGCTAACAGGAATGTAAACATTAACGATTGATAAAAAGCCCACCTCCTCCAGTGTCGTCCTGCCCCACAGCGGTCAGACCCAGGTCACCCTGCCAGCGGTTCTGGGCCAGGCTACCGCCACTGTCTCGCATTATCCACGGACAACCCACAACCTGCGCCAGCTCGTCACCTGCAGACCACAAACACAGTTTACTTTACTTTCTCTAGAAATGCAGATGTTAAAAAAGGTTATCCGCCATGCTCCACACTAGTCACATTGGTAATTTATAAGATTTAGTTAGTTAGCCATGTTTCTCCTAAATGATGTTCATCACCACATTCTGGGAAAATGAAATATCAAGTTTTCTAATTAAAAACACCATGTGATTAAACGAAGGGTAAGAGGAAACATCTTTTAAAATCAGCTGCCTTAGGAGAAAATGGGAAACCAATAATTGACCTGAAATCCAGCAGTAGATTACATTTTCACATGTAGATTATAATGAGAAAAATGGCTATAGTCAGCCTGGAATGAAAGCAATGGCCAAACTAACATTTAAACATCAGCCTGCAGCAGCCCCTGCCTTGGAAAGGAGAGTTGACATATGAAGAGAAAATAAGTGATGCTACACAGTGTGTGGAAATTGTCACAAGTGGACAGAAAAACAACTGTGACATAATCAAAGTCCCTTTAAGATAAAAATATCCGCTGGGTATCAGATAATCCTTCTGAGCTGCGGAGTAAGGTTGGGGCACATTACACCTCAGCAGTGGTTTAGAGTAACTGAGTAGATTTACTCAAGTACTGTACTTAAGTACAATTTTGAGGGACTTAGACTTTACTTGGGTATTTCAATGTGTACTACTTTGTACTACCCCACTAAAATTCTGAGGTAAATGGTGTACTTTTACTCCAGTACATTGCCTTTAGTTACTTTAACGTGAAATATAATCAACTCTTAAATCAGACTTTAGTTAAACCTGGAGTAAATTCACAAGCTACCCTGCAGTATACAAAGTCATGAAGCTTTACCAGCTTTGATAAACACTTTAATAATATAATATAAACATGCAATTTATATTATATTGAAATGGGCCAATCTGCATAATGAGTACTTTTACTTTTGGTACTTTACGTATATTTTGATGCAGATTCATGATTTTACTTGAGTAACATTTTGATTGCAAGACTTTTACTTGTAACAGAGTATTCCTACACTCGGGTACTTCTTCTTTTACTCAAGTACAAGATCTGAGTACTTCTTCCACCTCTGCACCTCAGCAAAGCACCCTTCATGCTCTATAATGACAGGGCTGCAATTGGAACAACAAGCGGGAAATTGCAGCACTTTACCACGAAATGTAAATAAGAATGACCTATGACCTCCCAACGGACAATTGATAATGTGCATAAATAATACCTGCTTGAAAGGTAATTAAACCCAATTGTTCTTGTTGACATAGGACAAGCGTTTAGCGAGCAACACTTGGTTTACATTATACACATTTCATCCAGAATGCATATGGCTGTGTTACAGCAGAGCAGCTTTGTAACACCAGGACTGTCGTCACCATGTGCACCTGGTCGGAAAGCGGATATGTAATGTAGCCTGCTAGCTACACTGGGTACGAGTATAACTAAGCAAATGGGCGAATTAGCTTTTATTAAAGTGCATAATTTGCTGCAGGGGATATACTTTTTAAAAAGCTGCTCTATGAAGGGGACAATTATTTCCGGTGCAGGAAATAGTCACTACCCAGGCTAGCTTGTTCGCATTTAGCGCTAGCAGCATCACCGTCACAGTTTCAGCACTTAAAACCGAAATAAAAACCCAATTAACTGCAAACTGTGTTTTGTATGCAACTATAACTATCCGAAGCCCCCGCAACATCATTTATAACCAACTGAAATAACCATAGCTCTCCAATAATCCGTTGTCTATGCTAGCTAGCATGTTAGCTGGTTAGCTATGTTGTCGTTAGCTAGCTAGTAGGGAGCTGCCATGTTAGCAACAACAAAATAAAACGCCCGGCTTTACTGTAGTGCTTCCAAAGCTAGGTGTTCATATCATATGCTTACCGTTGGACTGCAGATTTATATGAATGCGTGTCCAGCTGCTTCCAACTGAATGTTGGGCGTGCTTAATTTAGTCAGGGTATCGAACCAAAACAAATGCTAATTGATGTTAAACCTCATTCAATGAAGTCAGGTGTGCAGGAGCCAGATGTCACCTCCTTGAGAACTTTGATTTCTTTTAGGTCTTCCGGTTCAACGAAAAAATTAAACACTAAACATTAAGTATAGATTGCAGACAGAGATCTGTGTGAAATCGACACGAAAATCTATAAGAAGTGAAAAAGAACGAGATGCGCTGAGCCGGATCACTGCAGATTTTTCGCTCTCATGTCTACAACAAGTCCGTCGCGCAGCAATGGCGTCATAGAGAGTATCATCAGGATCTGATCAGGATAAGGGTTTTGACCCCCCACTTTTTCTATTGACACAATTGCTCATGTTGTATTTTAACAATTGGATTCGGTATGAGTTTATGAAAGTTATATGTTTTAACGGGTGGTGTAAAGTACCTAGGTACATTTACTAGTAGCCTACTATAATGTACAATGTTGAGATACTAGTATTTTTACTTGAGTATTTAAATGTTTTGCTACTTTGTACTTCTACTCCACTTCAATTCAGAGATAAATGGTGTAATTTTACTCCACATATTTAATACCTTTAGTTACTTTGCGGATTTGGATTAATGATGTGAAATATAATCAAGTCTTAAATCAGACTTTAGTTCCACCTGGAGTAAATTCACAAGTTACCCTGCAGTATACAAAGTCATTCAAACTAGCTGCACCTTTACCAGCTTTGAGAACACTTTAATGATCAATCATTATAAAATATATCGTATATATTATTCTGAAATGGACCAATCTGCACAATCACTACTTTTACTTTTGATACTTTAAGTATATTTTAATGCTAATACTTTTCTACTTTTACTTAAGTAACATTTACAATGCAGGACTTTTACTTGTAACAGAGTATTCCTACACTCTGGTACTTCTACTTTTACTCAAGTACAATATACTTGAGTACTTTTTCTACCTCTGGTTTTACAAGAATAAAGTAGGTTGGCAGGTTTTGTATAAATAAAGAAAACGTGTTCTTAGGTTATTATCACAGTGTTCAACTCAGATTATAAATTGTAAACCTCTCTTTATGGCAGTAGATTAAACATTTGTTCAAATGACATCATCTCTTGAAGAAGAATCTCGGTGTTTCTGATAACGTTTGCCTTATTTCAGATTCATTTTTACACTCATTTTGATGAGACTTTTGTTAAGTTATAGTTTGGGTCACAACTTAAAACACATGATAATAAAGCTATATTTGACAAAACTAGAAATAGCAATGAGATGAGGTTTTATTTGTATCGAACTATAATTTATTGTAAATATTCTGAAGCTTATTTCTAACTGCTGTACCAAAAGGTGGCAGCATAATCATTATGACGTTGAACAAATACCAGAATTTCTAAAGCTGCACACTCTAGCAGCCTAGGGTAGAATATTGCATCAAATGACATTCTGTGCAATTTGTGTTTTGCTATTTTTTGCTAAAATGCAATAATTTGGACAGTATATAATATTATATGACAGAAAACAGCTGCTTAAAAGAGAAGGGGAGTTGTGTAAAATATAAATAAAAATCTATGCGTAACACAAAATATATAAACATTTACATTTTAAAACTTTTTTCACAGTTAAGACTGTGAGGCCAGACAACATATTTGATGAATTACAATTAAAAATCAAGATGGTTTTAAGATTGTCCGAATTGGAACAAAAAAAAAAGGAACATTATTCTCTCAAATGAGTTAATTTGGCTTCGAAGACATGACCACAAGTACTCTTCGCTCATTTTAGATTCTGATCTCAATTTTAAAGCTCATTTTAGTTTGTTGACCAAAACTAAATGTTCTTATTTGCAAAGGTAAGACCTGAAATGAGCCACAAGAGGCAGACATTCAGTTTATGCTTTTATTGTTAGTCGTCTTTACTGATTGTAATGGTCTTTATATGAGTCCTCATTATGATCTCTGTTTACTACTGTGATACTATAACTATAGAAATAGATTGTAAGCAAAACAATAATAAATATGATATGATTAATTCCAAGTAATACTCACGGTCGGTAATCATGCAGCAAAAATGTAATAGTGTTAATGGGCAAAGGAAAAGAGGAGAGTCGGTATTCCTTACATTGTTCTTTATTCAGTGAAACGGTATGGGTAATACAAAGCAACCAAAGAAATAGCAACAAAACACAGGTTGGTTATATAATATACCAATGCAGGATCAAAAGGAATCCATTTGGGGGTAAAATGCTTTTTAACCATTACAGATTTACACATTAACACCAAAATCATGATCTCATTGCATTTTAAAGCAACAGAAGGCGCAGGCACTTTAAAAGAAGGATGAGCGGGCATGGAGTTTTAAAAGTTCTTCTCGTCCAAACTTTTCATGACCCTCACAACCCAGGGAAGCTTCGGATCCACACAGATGGTAGCACCTTTCATCGTGGTCAGACTGAAATAAAAAGGTAAAAGGAGGAAGGAAAGGGAATAAAATAACAGATTAAAACCAAATACAAAGTAGGAAACGGAGACTCAAAATCTTATTGTATGAAATGTACTGTATTTAATGAGAAAAGGGACATTTGTGAACGTTTTCTTAACTTATTATGCTTATTCTGGTCATTATATCATATAAATGTAAGGATGAACTTACACGGCTGCAGTCATTGAGCATCTGTAGTTGGTCATGTAATACGAGCGGACGTACATTTTGTTCAAAGTTCTCGGGTAGTATTGGAAGCAGCAGTCTCCAGGACCACCAGCATCTGGAGAAAGAAAACGTATAATGAGTTGAGAAGTGTAACAGAAAATGTTTTAAGTCATCTTACTGTTGCAGAACACCGAGGCGAATAGAGCGTGTCCCAGGATGCAGAGCAGGAGGATGTGACTGGTCCTCATGGTGGCTTCTGGAGATGTTTCTGGATGTGATGATGGAGGTTAATATCAAACAGCTCCTCGTCTGCAGGAAAGTGCTTCTGACAAAAAGGTGGTGGGGTGTTGCGTTTATCACGATCAAAAAAGTATTACAAAAAAAGGTGTTGCTGGTGTAAAGGAAGGAGGACATTGTGGTTTTAAGGCGACTTTTTGCCTTTTACTTTCGCTACTTTAAGTATATTTTGATGCTAATACTTTTCTACTTTTACTTAAGTAACATTTACAATGCAGGACTTTTACTTGTAACAGAGTATTTATACACTCTGGTACTTCTACTTTTACTCAAGTACAATATACTTGAGTACTTTTTCTACCTCTGGTTTTACAAAAACTAGAAATAGCAATGAGATGAGGTATTATTTGTATCTAACTATAATTTATTGTAAATATTCTGAAGCTTATTTCTAACTGCTGTACCAAAAGGTGGCAGCATAATCATTATGACGTTGAACAAATGCCAGAATTTCTAAAGCTGCACACTCTAGCAGCCTAGAATATTGCATCAAATGACATTCTGTGCAATTTGTGTTTTGCTATTTTGAATGCAATAATTTGGACAGTATATAATATTATGACAGAAAACAGCTGCTTAAAAGAGAAGGGGAGTTGTGTCAAATATAAATAAAAATCGATGCGTAACACAAAATATATAAACATTTATATTTTTAACCTTTTTTCACAGTTTAGACTGTGAGGCCATACAACAGATTTGATGAATTACAATTAAAAACTAGAGAATGCAATTCCTGAAGAAATTGCTAGTGGGAATGCTTTATGCTGAAGATCTGACGCTAAACTGCTATGCTGAAATGTAATGTGTAAGAAGAAAGTGAAGAATTTAGATTGAAATGATACATGAACACTGGGGGCTTGAATGTGTGATGAGAGAAGAAAAGAGAGTAAAAAGGCTTGGAAAAGCAGCAGAATATTTGAACTGCAAACCTTTGAACTAACTTGATGGCGAGTGGTCTGTCGCCATGGCAACGGCATTTGATGACACCCCATAATACGCTTAGATGCGTTGATGGCTGCATCGTTACCAAACCTGTGAAGTTTTGGGCCATTTGGAGCATTTTCACTGAAGTTATGAGAAAACCGTGTTTCATGGCGGGCATTGTGTTGCCATGGCAACGGCATGTCCCGTAGATGTCTTCACGGCTGGACTGTTAGCACACATGTGAAGTTTGAGCACTTTTTGAACATTTTCATAGGAGTTATAGCGACATCGTCTTTTATGGCGAGGGATATGTTGCCATGGCAACGGCATTTGAAGAAACCCCATAATTGACGTAGAGCTGTTGAGGGCTGGACCGGTGATATACAAGCGAAGTTTGGGGGACGATCGGACCTTGTCCATTGGACTTACAGCGACATCGTGCTTCATGGCGAGTGGTCTGTCGCCATGGCAACGGCATTTGATGACACCCCATAATACGCTTAGATGCGTTGATGGCTGCATCGTTACCAAACCTGTCAATGTGACATCATCGTGTTCCATGACACAGGTGTTTATATTTGAGCTAACGACGACAGCTGTGTGTCACCAATAATGTATAAAATAGGTGGAACATGTTGAAGTTAGTATGAAGTCTCCATCAGACAGAAAAGAATAGGCTCAGACAGTCTGTTAAACTCCAGTGACCACGTTGTTAGCTCAAACACGAACACCTGTGTGTTATGACATCGTGTTCCATGACACAGGTGTTTATATTTGAGCTAACGAGGTGTGCAGAGATCAAAGGTTTCCATTGTTCTGAATGAGAGATGAACCTCTTACATGTGAACGTTTTGTGGAAGAACGATAACAGATATCTGTGAAATTTCAAAACGTGAAGCATGTCAAGGAAGTTGAGTATCTGAAGTGTAATTTTTGTGTACTTTCGGGTTAATAATGTGGCCTTTTTGGCAGTTTAACTAAAGGTGTGCGGCTGCTGCTGTGAGGAAATATCTGCCTGAAATTACAATGGGCTTTAATGGAGACATGTTGAACGTTTTTGTCACTTCATGCCCTCAAGAGGCATTTTGTTTAATTATTTTGCTTAATTATTTGTCATTTTTCAAGCTACAAGATGTTTTCCTACGTTTGTCATGAAATATTATGTCTCAGGAATGTAGGGTTTGGGAATTATGGCAGTTTTAAAAAAATATATGAAGGCAAATTTCAAGATTTCCTACCCTCTAGCTGTGACATCACGCACTCTGCCTTAACGAGCTGCGCAATGTTAAAGTTCAAATGTTAAAAATGTGATGAATTATGGGATGTATCTCTGGAATTATGAAAGTTATGAATGATAAAAGTAATAGCCCGCGATTCCGACCGAGCTGAACGTTT